AGTTCGAGCTGCAAACGATATAAAGGAATCGTGGTGTAGGAGGGGAGAGGGAGATTAAGGAGCCACCTCGAACGAATTGGATTTTGATGCATTAAACCGAAAAATCTCTACGTTTCCAGAACGAATTCAGCTAAATTTTCTTAAAGCTTTTTTTTCCAATTGCAACTTTAGATTATTCGTAAATTTTAATTCTCTTGTAGGTACAATTAAACAAATGATCCCTCGTATTCCGGGCAAGCACCCAAAGTGCATAATTTATCAGTTTCAAGGTTTCCCTTTAGAGCTAGAATCCGGGTACCCTTTTATAACGAATTTCAGGACGTTTATATGACCGGAAAACGTGATTGCGATCGAATTTCAATCGACGAACCACCCCCGACTGATTTGTTTAGTTGCACGCCAGAGAGCTTAGAGCCAATTTGTTTCGAGCTCGTTCGATTATCCGAAACGGCTTTCGAATCGACAAATATCAATGCTCCAAAAGCGATTTTGATGTGTCCACAATGTGTTATATTGTACGTAGGTGTTTTAATAGTTTTTTTAACTTCTATATTTTAAGTTGTTACATTATAATGTTGTAGTATTAAATTTTTTTCTTGATAAAGTAATGTATTTTCAAGGTTACCATCATATATGATACCGTAGCCCGATGGGGAAAACTTTTGGGTTGCAGTATATTTTATGAGGTGCATAAAACAGAATTTCATGACCTCTTGGCCATTTTCCTCCCGACCGTAATGCATTCACAACATACCTTGATTGCATCGTAAAACGTCTTCGAAACGTTCCAAAATTTAGAAGTAAAACTTTGAAGCTTTTCGAAACTTGTACTATGGGTCACGGGTGGGGATTTGATTTATAGGTTACATAAATCGCGTGACGGATGAGTGATTCTGTGTCATTCCGTGCAGAAATAATACAAATAGGACCGCGCCGATGCTACTGCTGACGAAATAAAATTTACTATGATCGTAAATAAGTTCTTTTTTTGTGCTGATATCGTATGTTTTAAGCCATAAAAAAACTGGTTAAATAGATTCGTTTTCATTTTATACTTTTTGGTCCCTTTTGAAATTAATCATCTAACATTAATTTAACCAAACAGAACCGTGCAGTTAAAAAGCCGTCTAAGTATAAAATGATCAAAGTGTTAGAGGTAAAGAGCTGTGGTGCAGGTGAACTGAATAAACTAATCGGGAGCTTGTCCAACAAGGGTTCAGCTGTTGCCCAACAAACCCTTTACGTTGGCACTCCCTAAATCCTATGGTCATGTGAAGAGTTTTCGTATACTACAGGGCGTTTATATTTATTTAAAAAAGAAATTTCGTTTTAATAATGTATCAATTAAACGTATTATTAGGGAAATTAATTATGTGTCTAACGTCCTATTGAGATTCCTTAATCAAGCGTACTGAATCGGGTTTGTAGCATGTTATTACAGGAATGAGATTATAACGGAGCCGCTTACGGTGTAGTTTGATAATTAACCGAACGTATTTAATTAGTTTAAATTAACTATTTTTTTTAAATAAACAAAATTGACTTCAAAAGCTTTGAAGATATTGGGTGTGGAACGAGAAAATGAAGTGTACATTATATAGAAATGGAATGTCGTCATATTAATTTGAAACATCTTGTAGATACGTAATAATTGAAATAAAAAAAGAGATGTAAAACCACAATAGATTTTAATCCGCAGAATATGTTGCCTTTGCGTGCACTATATATAAACTGAAATGATTATGAAATATTACTAGGGAGTATGCATCACGTATATATTTGAAAACGCGAGTTTCACCTGAACATTACACACTTCTCCGCTCTGGGGCTCTAAAGGGTTGCTTGTTTATAAATCACTTCGCCTGGTCACATTAGTGCGGTATCCGCCGTGCCCGGATAATATATGTTCTGGATCTAAATAAAAGTCACCGCTTCGGGGCATGCTCCCGCTACTGTAATCTACTTTATTTATACTGACGCGCTTAGTTCCTTACGTACCCTTCGAAAAATATATACATTACTCGCTAGAGTGCACAGTAATAACCATAAACCGTCCAATCTAATGGAGCAACATGTATTAACTATAATAAAAAAAATATTTTATTCACTACTTGTATGTACAGGGTGATTCAAATAATGGAGAATAGGTAATACTAACATTTCAGGTTGATATTTATTTATGTGTACCAAAAACCTAGTTTCAACAACTCCTGAGGTATGCGCTATCTATAAATTTCAGTGAGAATGATGGCAACAAAACACAGAGATGGATTAAGTAAGATCATAACAACCAGAAGTAAAGAGAAGAAAGTAGTCAAAGGTGAATTTGGATTCAGGAGAATGGTGAGATAAGTGTTTGGAGCTCTGCACGAAAAGATGTAAAACTTCAAAATCACAAGATGACACCAACAGTATACCAGCGATATTAAATACAGGAATAGACGAATCAGCTATTACATAAGTAGATATAGACGTTCATTATAATTTGGAGGTGGAACGGCTATCATAAGATAAAACTTATTACTCTCGGAATAAGACGATAGAGGAATTCTGCCATACTAAGGTTTAGTAGAGTTTAATTAGTCGAAGACTTTAATTATAAATCGACTGGGTGAAGGAAGAGTGTCTTGCTAATGGACAGAATGCATTTTACTTAGCATTCGTCAATGTAAAGCAGGGAAAGCCATCTATTGAGTGAAACATCAGCGCACAAGAGAAAGTAAGTTATCACCAGGACATCTTTATCACGTTAGAACACCGGTCGAAAGAGAAAAGAACATTTGCGAAGAAAACAAGGTGGAAAAGTTACGGCTAGTGGACTGGGGAGAAGGCAGAGATGAGGGGTCAAAATTATCCTCATCAGCAACATCTCAAAAACAAGTATAACATAGTTAGAAAGGAACTGAAGAAAACTTTTAGAGGCCTGAAAGTAATGATAGAAAAGATGGAGTCATGTTGTGGAAAAGCAAAGTTAATTGCATCCATATAGATTCAGCCTTTGGATATAGCTCATGTAGTTGTGTCTTAGTTGAAAGTAAAAAGCCACTTCTCAGTTTTTCTAATCAAAATATGTATTTTTTCTGACTGCTAGATCATGTTATATTCTTGAAAAAGTTCTTCTACCTAGCGTAGTTGTATCTGGAAGAATTTAATTATTTCCTTGTGCTTTCTCAATCTGATCCCCACCTTTTTTCCGAATATGACCAACACTACATTTATACACTATACTCATCATCAAATACTGCTTCGCAGGCCTCGGCGTCGAATGTCTTCAAAGCGCCAGTTGTTATAAAAACTTTTTTGCACTTTTAATCCTACTGTCATCAAGGCTTTTTTTACAATGATACTTGGACAAGTCTCCTCAATTGCAATGGCATATTCCCATGGGTGTCATTACAGCCTTTTTTAGATATAATACTAAGATTGGCTTTATAAATATGATAGTGAGTGAAGTTTTAAGTAACTGGTTCAAAAATCACAATTTTTTTACTTATAGCTTTGAATCATCTTGTACAAAACGAGAGTTAAAAAAGAGATTGTAAGACAATGAAAAAACGGTTTTCTACGTGCCACCTTTAAAGAAGTATATTTGCGACGTGCGTGAATTCGATTGACTCACGAACACAACATCTCTTTCTCGTTATTTATTCGATGTCGTCTTCATTGCTTTTATCGATTTGTGGCTAAGACTCCGGCACCTCCACCATTATATCCAATTCGCGTCACACCGCAAAAGTTTTACCTCGATTTACTTATTGCGACATAACTCACAGCCTTTAGGACAAATCCAGCCTTTACGACCGGACCTAAACGATCGAATAAACCTGCATTTTTTATCAAGTCCGTTACGATTTCATCGACTTCGTCCACGGTCCAAATGCTAAACTTGACCCGGTTACATTCGCGGAAAGGAAGTACACCGATGAATAAAAGATGCGGCTTTTAACACTTTTTTATTAATGATTTTATGTGAACCAAAACATTTATACATGATGTTTATCTAGTTCTCGTAAAATACGACATTCTTTAGATGGAGGTTATAAACCGTAAGTTATACAGGACGTTATCGGCTGCGAAATTTGTGGTAACAGGGTACTCATTAGGGTCAGCATCGTGTACATAACATTATTTAGAAGGGCAGATAGAGAGAGTTTTTGTGAAAAGCGAGAATGTGTAATGAAAGAAGTATTTCAATTTGTGCTACTTCTTTTAGTTTCTTAAGTGGACTAAATGTTGGAGCTTTATCTTCATTATCAAGCATTTCTTTGTGCCGGGCTAAATTTATTGATGTTAATAAAATATAGGATTAAAATTTATATCATTCAATACAACATAATAGAATCATCCAAGCAATAAAGGGCCACATCAAACATTTCCAGAAAAGGCAGAACAAATTAACTTGGAACAATAAAATTTAAACGGGTCGCGTTAACGAAAACGCAAACACAAACACTCGACGACGTGCGGGGTTTTTAAGAGAAACCCACAACGATGGGGTCTTTACCGCCCACTCGACAAATCCATGCATAAATTTGAATAAAGAACAATCGAGCGAGCAAATTAATTTTAGCAGAACCGTTCGAAAACCGCACAAACGAGAACGAAGAACAAGCAGCAAAAACAAGAAATTCGTTTCCAATTTTCTTTAACCAGCTTTTCATGTTAGTTTAAACAGTACATTTATTCAGAAAAGAAAATCATAAGATATAAACAAAATCTCTTCAACTAAAAAATGTGAGCATCATCTTCAGATTATCTTATTAATTAGGAGAATCCTAACAAAAAAAAAATGAAAAGTAACCAAGTTGATGAGCCACTTTTGCAAAGATGTACACGAAGGTGTCAACCTAAACAGGTCAAAGCTTCTAACCCAAGAGAAGGAGGTTGTGTTATAGGGCGCTTGCGTCCCCCAAAAACGGGAGAGTGTGGGAAAGCTCTGCTCTTCAGGCGAAAGCTGGCCGGTGCTTTTCGAGTCAGTAGCCTCGGTGTTAGCCGCGGTGCAACGGTGGAGGTTTGCAGCTTTTACGCGAAAAGTTGCGTCAAAGACGACAGAGCGCGCGAATTTGGACGTTTATAATAAAAATGACGTTGAAAGATTTTCAAAGTTTTTACATTCGGAGTTTTAAGATTACTGTTAAAGTTGAAAAAATTAATATTGAAAATTAAATTCGTTGTGATTGTGTGAAAATTATCCCCATCAATGAGATTTAGACAATTAATTTAGTTTGACTTGAATAAGAAATAAATAAAGAAAACGAATGTTTTGCATCGAGTGTTTTTGTGAGGAAGTTTAAAAATAAATTAAGGTAAATTATTTTATTTTTAAAACAAAACAATTTAGTTCATATTTTTTATATAAAACAAGGGAAAAGTTTTGAAACATTAGGTGGCAAATTGGTATAATTTTTTGTTTTGCAACAATGAATTTTCAAAATAGGAAAATATCTGCTTCGTTCGGATATTTTTGCGGAATTAATTTAACAGTTTGCTGGTTCAATTTTTAAGGGTTAATTAACCAAAAAATATGTGTGTGCAGCAACACCGAATTGTTACGAAACAATACAAAAATGAGTTTTAAATTAAAAAGTTTTTCATTCCCTTTTATTTTATTTTACACAATGTTTATATCATCGATTGCTAGATGCAAAAGCAAAAATAATTATTGCAATAAACGTTTGATGTTTGCATATAGACGATGTTATTCCGACAAATCCAAATATAGATAGATAGATAGATAAATACATGTTTGGAACCACGTGTTTGCGATGCGCATCAATATTACGGTGACAGTATGTATACCGCATACCTAATATACAGGTAATTGCGACATCCAAATATCGGTTCAAGAGTAATTATTAGTCATTATTATATTGGTTTTAATTTAAGTGCAAAATTCTTGTTAAATTATTTGCGGTTTATTTATAAATGTATCAATAAAGTAATTTTTAGTGCATTAATTAGATACGTTTTTTAAAACTAATTTACAAAGTTTTCTGAATCTGCATGCTTTGATTAATAACTACATTATTTAGCATACTATATCGGAATATAAATTATTAACAAACACTAACTAAAACTTCAAAGGGGAGGAGAATAAAATTACAGTTAGTAAACACTTTTTGTATTACTTTGTTATACTTTCTGTATTGAGGCCCAAATTTTTTAATCCAAACAATGGGCGTATATCATCTTTCTCCCATTCATTGTAGTAATTCTTTGTTTTTGCTTTTATGTTAATGTTCCATACTTTAATTAAATATTTTATCTCATCAAGTAACGATATGGTAGTAGGAGAAAGATCTTCAAATTGTTTTAGACAAGTTTAGTATTCTTTAACTTTTCTTGTACACTTTTAGGGTAAGCTTTGGTGGCTCCAAACGTAAACGTCCGAATATAGTACCCACCTTCTATAAATTACATTGGATATAAAGTTAATCGTTATCAATTTGGTCCGCGATAAAGAACCGCATAAAGCTGATCGGTTCAAGAAAGAATATCATCAATGTATTGTGTAACTACTATAATAAGCTCAATCATGATTTAGTCTTGATAATTGCCAAATTTGAATTGTTTTTTAATCAAAGTATTTTTTGAGCAGTTAGTGGTAGGATTTGAAGTTGGCGCAATTTGTTATAAATTTTAGTTGTTTCTAAAGTTTAATTTAGGACCTTCATAAATCTTCAGGAGCATTACTTAAAAGCAGACGGACCATAAATTGACCACTTGATAGGCGAGTATCTTATTAAAACGATCTTTTCATAATTATCCAACAATATAGATTTAGCCATACCAGAAATTTTAGAAGTAAATTTTGAAAAATATGTATCATTACGATAGGAAAAGAATATTAAAAATTATACTGCATTAATTTGAAATGAGACAGAATACCTCAAAATGTATTTATCTGATGTTTTAACTAATTATTTTCGTGATACTAGAAATTATAATTGTACAGCGATGAGTTTTCTGAACAAATCGTAAAAAATTGTTTACAATTTCCTATAATAAAGCTTAGGTTGTACTGCGAAAGTGCTCATATTTCGATGAGAAATCTGTATTCTAGAAATAGAACGGGATGAAGTTGATATCCTTGGTAGAAAATCTGTACCGAAAGAGGTGGTTATACTATCAATCCTCCCGTAGTCTACGATTTTAATAGCCATAAGAGTACTTGAGAAACATCAAAGCCCATTAAAATATTGTAATTATATGCTTTGCTAAAATGGTTCTAGATCTCATCTCTCTGATTGGACCAAATAATACAGTTAAAAATATAATTTAAGGAAGTGATTCCAAGTTGTTTGGTTTAAAAATTGGTAGCATAAACTTTTTTCTCCACTGAACTGGGAAAGAGCCAATTTTCAAAGAAAGGGAAAAAGTTTGCTTGTTTAGTGAATTGCTTGATGACACTTCACATCAACGTTACGAGCAAATCGATATGCTAATTTCTTTCATTTTGTAATGCTAAAGCCATAATAGTGTTGAGAGTACTTCATAACCAAAAATCCACTAAAAAAACAATAAAACATTAATTGCCTACTTAAAAAGTCAATAAAATATATTAATATTAACAAAAAAATCAAGGATGATGTAAAGTACGATGCTTTTTTTATTAATTCGGCTCAATTCATCATCATCACCATCAGTAACATGATAACTTTCTGTGAATCTTAACCTGTTCTAAAAGCTTCCGCCATTCTGTTCTGTTCTGCATCTTGCTTCTATAGTTGATGATGAGGATTTTAGTATTTTCTTCCATCTGGCACTACCTAATATTTAGTCTTGGCCAATTCTTTCAACCTTTTTTCGATTGCCATCTATTTCGTAATTCTCTTGAGGGTTCTCCGTGCCTCGTTCTCAGTTCATCGTTTATGGCCTCTCTCTTTTCAGTCTATGAGTCTGTTTTCTTTCCTCCCCAGTTTGTCTGGTTCTTCGTTGCTGTAGATTTCTACAGGTATGATTCTTTCCTTCCAGTCCTGCAGCTTCACAGATAATATTTCAACGTTTCATCCAGCTGATGTTAGCATTTTCGCTTTTTTCTCTATTTTCAAGCTTCAGATTTATGATTCAGATGATTGTATAACTATCTCGGGATACTTACTTTCCTTTGTGGATCTTTGTAGTGAAATTGTTGTTGGAATCCTTTTGTAAGCTGTGTTTACCTATATGCCCAGGTATGGTTCTTCCTTGTTATTCTGGCGTTATGGTTTTGATCTTAATATCGATTATTGGACATAAATAATATGCAGATTCTTTGTAAAATATTTCGTTTTCGTAATTCTTTCTCATCAACCTTGTACAGCCCTCAGAATGCCACCGGATTTGCATTTTGACATTAATTTGATTTACTTCGTATTCGTTATGGATCATACTTGCGATCGCGATGTTGATGACTAAAATTGGCCAAATAAGAGAGATAATTGATGTGTTTGATTAATTTGTTTTATGTTTTAATCAAAATCACATCTTTATTAGACGAAATCCAAGCTTTCGATTGACATACAAATCATTTCTAGTTATACTCGTTTTATTAAGCTTTCTATTGCTCATCGAAATCGGTTAAGAGGGTCTCTTGTTACGATCAAAATACGATGAACGTAAAACTCTATCTAATTGAAAGTTTTAAAAATCGAGGGCTCTCTTCGCAAAGTTAAGCTATATTAAAATCGAAACTTTTCGATGAATATTTAAGGTAATGAGATATTAAATCGGGATGATAGAGACATTAAACTATCTAGTAATAGATGTTATATTAGAAATAAGATAAGGGTTATTACAGGGTCTTTGGTCGATTTTTTCAGGTTACGATATTGATCTATACAGACGCCACAATACATAATAATGTATTGTGCTGACGAAGCACTTGATATAAGGTATTTTATAATGCAGGAACCGATAAAACAGGTGTTTCCCTTATCATAAAAAGCTTCCACCACGTTTTATTCACAGTTGAATGAAGCTTGAGCGTCCTTTCCGATTTTATTCACAGACTGACTTTAGACCCGATTGTGTATCGAACTCATTTTCTTTTGAAATGATTTACACCGCCTTGAGTCTGTCAAAATATACCACGAAAAAGTTTCCATACATTCGTATCGATATCAATTTATCACCGATAAATAATTTTTTTAAATACATTTTTTAAAATAAAATTCCATTCTGTTGTTAACAAAAGGAGCATAATTCAAGTTTATGAACACTTTTAATTGAGATTTCTTAGTTGCGCGAAGGCAAGCTCTCGGTTAGCCACCGCGACCGCCTTGTTTTTATCTTAAATTGCCCGGAGATTAACACTGATTTACGAGGCAATTTGCTGAACCAAAACGCACGAAGGGCTTCCGCTTTATAAAAAAAACGGTCATTATGAAAATACACGTTGCTCAGATATGCAGTGTGTCTTTTGGATGGGTTATTTGCACGGACAACCCCCAAGGTTTTTTCTTTATATAATAAATTTCCTCCAGGAATAAGAAACGCTGTAATTAAGGCATACCAAATTATTATGGAAAGGAAACTTTGACGGTTAATAACAGAAATTGGCCAATTAAAAAAGTTTTTCTCCTATTATTGGTGTCCTTTGGGGAGCGTGCGAACTTTTCTTCTCCAAGGTAATCGCAACTGAATCCTAACTTTAATATATTTTTTTGTTAGTGTTACGAAAGTTCTGGGATAACGCGTTAAATATTGCCTTCACATTTTCCCACCTCTAACTACCTGCTATGTTCATAAATAATGCGGAATATTAAAAGCCACCGAACTTATATTACATATTAAAGTTAAGAACTTCTCTAATATTATAGTTTTGTAATACAGTTTAATTTTAAATCTCATTTCAGAAAGTATTTTAATGATTAATAAAAAGGACTTGTTTTCAAAACGTTATTCGAGTAAACACCCTTTGCAGAAAACGAATTGGGTCGCAAATAAAGTTTAGAAAAAGAGCGAATCAAACTCCAGATGGTGCAAGGTACCGGGTAGGGTTTTAGGTTGCGGTTTTTAAAAGCCGATGGTCGATAGGTGAAACGACGAAAGGTGAAAGAGGAGATATATGGCAAGTTAAACGTCGGAAAATGTGTGCAGGTCCGCATTAGTCATAATAAATCAACTCGGCAAATCGCACCCTCGGACCATTCATCATTAAAACGTTAACCTGAGCGTCTCTTTTGTTTTTAAAGCGCCTTTCAGTAACGATCGATCGCGTGCTTTAATGTTCTAGTTTCAGTTCTAAAATTGAACTAAGATAATCTATCATTCGTGGTTTTTTTATTATCATTTTTCTGTCACTTAGTTTATATCGTTCACGAAG